CCAGGGAGCCGTTGCCTGGGAGGTCTCCCTATTCGAAGATTTTTAGGACGGCCACATGGATTTATCCACCGCGGCTCGTCAATGAACCACGTCAACGAACCACGTCAACCACGGCTCGTCAACCTGCCAAGCTGGATATCGAGCTCCAACGGCTCGACCAAAAGAGCTGCAGGAGTAGCTGCAGGATTTGCTTGCATGCCGATGCGTCCCGGTGCATATCTCCCCGTCAATGGCGGAAGTTCTTTGTTTTGGGGAGTCAGAACTGCATGGTACATCTAAGCAGGTGATTCCCCAAACAGTGTGGACACACTAGGGGTTCTTACGGTAGGTGCAAAGAAACAAGGCTTAGATCGCTGAAGCGCGTGGGCGTGTGCGGCTAATTCGCTGCTATTTACAGTACATTCATGCCTCTCGACGCCTCTCGACATCGTCAATGTGCATTTCGACTGCGCAGGCTCGCTGAATCTGGGTGTCCGCGGCGGGTGCTTCTAACGACTGCGCTCTCGTTGTGGTGCCGTGCGCATTTTCACACATGGCGATCACTTTTCGTGACAGGCGCAAGGGATCGGAGGTGTTTTACTTCCAAGTGCAGATTTCGTTGCAGGTGCAGCACTTGGTGAACCTCGACGCGCAGATTTCGTGGCAGGCACAGCGCTTGGTGGCGCAGCACTTTGTGCTCTCAGATGCTCACTCTCTCACTCTCACCCTCACTCTCACTCATTCACACACGCTCACACTCACATTCACTCACATTCACGCTCACGCTCACGCTCACTCTCACTCACGCTCGCACTCACACACTCACTCGCACCACACTCACTCGCACTCACACTCACTCTCATCCACATTCACTCACACTCACTCACACTCACTCACACTCACACACTCACTCACCTCACTCTCACTCTCACTCTCACACTCACACTCACTCACTCTCCCACGCTCACTCTCACTCACACGCTCACTCTCACTCTCATGCTCCCTCTCACTCTCACACACACGCACACTCACACTCACACTCCACCACCGCCACTGTCACCACGATCCCCACCTTCATCACCACCATCACCTCTGTGGACCCCAATGCGTCTAGATCTCTAGACTTTCTGCTTGTAGACCTCACACACTGTTTGGGGCCTCTTGCCGGGATAATTTGTTTCGGATTTTTATATGTTGTTCTATGGGTTTTCTGCCAGGAACAAAGTACCAGGTATTCTGCCAGGAACCTGTTCAGAACACAGAGTTTTGGGTGGTATGATGAACCACTGAGCCATGCCACTCACACGCTGAGGCTCCAGCTGAGGCGGGGAGATGTAGGATGAGGGAGGGGGTGGTCGTGGCACTGGCAACTGTCTCTTGATCAGGAAGACCCTCCGCTACCAACAATCAGAGTCCACTCCTTGGAGAACTGCTTGTTTGTAGAGGAACATGGTCATCCGGCCTACTGAAGGCCATTGGGCCAGTGTATAGGTGTGGAGACCACCTCAACTGGGTGCTGAGAAGAAGACCGAACCGCTGGCGAAGCCCAACCCCGTTCGGGCCATAGACCGGTCTATCCATTATTTTCATGAGCACTTCGTGAAACTGATCGCCATTGGCCTAGTGGGGTCAGGTCTGAAGCTTGTTGTTCTTGTTCTTGCCCAGTGCCTTTTGGGGTTAGAGGGCGTGGTTTCCACTGGTCCGCCGCCAAGAGTTGACAAGTTCGAAGGGATTCCGCCACTCGGACTGCGCATCCAGGATCCAGAGTTACTTGCAGTACCGACCTAGACAGATGTTCTAGACAGATTGGGTTCCTTAGACACCCAACTCGGGGGACTTGTGCTACCTCTCAATCCACACCACATATAGCCCAGCGACCCGTACCTTGCAAGGCTTTGAATGGCACCGACTGCAAAACGCTGTACTTGTCTCACGCAGACACCATCCACACGGGGAGACGTCACCAGGAGACGGTGCTGCGGGGAGACGTCCTTGAGTTGACCGTCGGCCCGGGCACTGGAAGAGTTCAGAATGGTAAGGAATCAAGTGTTTTGTTACAAGAAACCAGTTCCAGTTTCAGTTTTAATGGAAACTAGTTCCATTCTGAATCAGTGCGGTTTTGGAACTAGTTCAGAATGGATTCAATGACTTGACCGTCCCAAACTTGAGGGATCATGTCATGTACTCCAAGAGTAAGTGTTTTAGAATGCCGGAGGTAAAACAACCACTTGGATCCATTTGGTCAGAGGGTGGACCAGGTCAGCAATAGTATAATACATTATATATACAATACTATTTTCCGATGAAGGTGACACAAAGGAGCAATGGATGAAACACACGCGGGGAATGAAGGGGCACGAGGACAAAAAGATGAGACACAAGGGCGGCAATGAAGAGGGAACGAACGGGGGGCAATGGATGAAACGCAGGGGGGATGAAGGGGGCATGAGGGGCCAATTGATGAAGGGCAAGGGGGAATGAATGAGGTACGAGGATGCAATCGATGAACCGCAAGGGGGGCTATGAAGGGGAACAAGGGACACGGGGGCAATGGATGAAACGCAAGGGGTGAATGAAGGCGGGCATGAGGGGGCAATAAATGAAGCTCAATTGGAGGAGTCAAAAGGTGAGGGCACAACAAGAGGGCAATCGATGAAATACAAAGGGGCAATGAAGGGGGCACGAGGGGGCAATGGATGAAACACATTAAGGGGGGAATGAACGGGGATGAAGGGCCAATTGATGAAGGGCAAGGGGAGAATGAAGGGGGCACGAGGGGGCAATGGATGAAACAAAAAGGGCAAATGAAACACAAGGGGAATGAAACACAAGGGGGCAATGAAGGGGGCCCAAGGGGCAATGAATAAAACGCAAGGAGGGAATGAATGAAGGGGCAACGGATGAAACACATTAAAGGGGAATGAAGGGGAGATGAGGGGCCAATTGATAGAGGGCAAGGGGAATGAACGAAACACAAGGGGGCAATGGATGAAACACAAGGATGAAACGCAAGGGTTGAATGCATGGGGACACGAGGGGGCAATTGATGGAACGCACAGGGGGAATGAAGGGGTGACGAGGGGGCAATAGATGAAACACAACGGGTGAATCAAAAAAGGGCACGAAGGGGGAAAGGAATGCGACACAAGCGGGGAATGAAGACGGGCACGAGGGGGCGATTGAGGAAACACAAGGGAGGCATGAAGAGGGGCACCAGGGGGCAATGGATGAAACGTAAAGGGGGTAATGAAGGGGGCACGAGGGTGCTATGGACATGGATGAAACACAAGGGGGAATGAAGGAGGGCAGGAAGGGGCAGTTGATGAAACACAAGGGGAGAATGAAGGGGGCACAAGGGGGCAATGGACAATGGATGAAAGACAAGGGGGAAAATGACGGGAGGGAACAATGGATGAAACACCAGAGGGGAATGAAGGGGGCACCAAGGGGGAATGAACAAAACACCAGGGCGGGAATGAGGGGCGATCGATACAACACAAGGGGTGCATGAGGGGGGGCACGAGGGGGCAACGGATGAAACGCAAGGGGGCAATCGAGAGGGGCAAGAGAGGGGAAGTCTTTGCCTCTCTACTTCACAGACATACGCAATTGTTCATGGAAGTGGATGGCATCACCTCTTCCGAGAAAACATGTCTTCCTCGGAGTTCTTGGCTGGCCAGTCCCGCTCCAAACCCGAGGGCCGGTGGGCAGCGAGCCGGTCTTCAAGGCAACGGAGCGGGCGCGGTGTGAGCGGGCGGCGCGTCCGATGGACGTGGTCGACCAAAGAGGAGAGGACTCCCATGAGCAGCATGCCATGGGGGTTGTGGATGTGACACTGACGTCGTTGGCTTATTGCATATTGGTGATCAATTGGTTTAGTTTTTTTTTCTGATTGATGCTGCCGCCGAAATACATGATTCGGGTGACGGATTCACCTACCTTGGCCAACCAGAGTGTTGTTTGTGGGTAGGCGAGGATCGTGTGCATGTTGCTCTTCAGAAACAAATGTCGGGTGCAGCGTCAGCTCTTTTGGAGAAAATTTGGATCAGGGACGTGATGCTTCTTGCACCATCCTCAAAAACAGGTGGCTCCTCCCTTCCGCACGGTCCACCCTCCGCCAGGACGGGTGCTTGGTGCAACTACCGGCGAAGGCGGTTGGAGCCAGGTGGTTTCTTGATGTTTCGTGTGTGGAGGTTTCTGACAGATGACCAGTATGAGAAACCAATGACCGATTCACAGACAAAGATGACGAAAAACAAACAATTGCAGACTCTAACCAGGCCTTCCACGTGGCTGTGCTCGCACTTCTCCTCTCGTGCGCCTGTCTCGCTGTGCCTTTTAAACTGCGTTGGAGGTTGCTCCTGTTGGGTGACCAGCCTTCGGGCAAGGTGGAAGTGAGTCAGTGAGAAGTCCAAGATGTGTTTAGAGGCATTGTGCGCAAACATTCATAAACCACAATGGTAACCACAACGTACCACAAATTGGTTTATTATTCATAAATATTCCATGGCACCAACTTGCAAGAATGTTCAGAAGGCTATAAGACGCCCTTCTATACTTATATCTTTTTAGAACCAATCCTGTCCCGCAAGCCCACAACGTGTGTCAAGGCGGGACTGGGGACGGTTTGATGCTTTGATCAATGTCTTGGCTAGCCACGGCCATAGGCCGGAGGCCTCATGGCGAGTCAAACACTGCCCAAAGGTGTTCATCCAAATCCGCACCGACTAAGGGTGTTGGTGAACTTTGGCGAGCCTGGTGAACTTTGGTGAGCCTGTCTCTATATAAATAGGCTATTCATTGCATTTGTGCCAGGGAGGGTGCGCACTACTACACATGCCGAATGGCACGTTATAACAATCAACTGATTGGGATGTGCCGTATCAATGCTGTATCGCTTCTTTTTAGATTGACATTCCCACCTGTATGATCCTGTATGCCTGTATGCAGATGTACTTCCCCATGATACAATCGGTTTGGGCGTTCACTTGCTTACTGACTGTCAATGATCCTCGATGGTCAGACTCCGGGCTCAAGAAACCTCGCTTGGCCTGGCTGCGATGTCCATATTCTGGCTGTGCCTACTGCTGAGCGAAGTGCTTCGCCTGGATGCCGCGACGGAGATTGAGGGAACTGCGGACGGAGCGGACGCGGACGGAGAGGCCGCGTCCTGCGTGTCCATGATGCAGAGACAAGCGCGGCCCGCTGGTCCAGGGCCCGCTGGTCGCGCAGCTTCGCTGGTAGAGAGACAGTCAACGGGTACAGGGCAACAACAATTGGTCCCATGGGAGGTGAACCGATATATCATGGCAAACTATCACAAGGCAGGCGTGCTCCCTGGCATTGCAAGAGTTTTGCAGGGCAGATGTGTTAAAGATGTTGATTATGTTTTTTATTTTTTATCACGTACCATGACGTAAGATGACGTGACCGGCAGGTGTTTCTAAAGGAGTCATATGTTTGTTGCTTGGCCCTTTTGTGCGCACATCTTCAGAACATGCATGACCTCCTGCGGCCCGATCTCCGGTGGCGGTGACGGAACTCCGCTGAGGTTTCTGACGAAACAAATGCTTTTCCTGATCTTCAGCTCTATAGGAGCCAGTGCTTTTTGTTCATGCCAGTGCTCTCAGGTGCCTTTTAGGGAGCGGAATGGAGCCAGGTCAATGGGTGAAAGCTGAAATGGTAAATGACGAAAAGACGTTCCAAGGATGATCCATTTGCTGCAGGCCTGTGCTTCATCTCACCTCCACCTGGACCTGAGATAGGTTTCACGAGTCGGCTGTAGTAGAAGGCGTGTCCTTTTTTCCCCAACAGCACCCGGAGAACTTCGGAATTCCCCCCAACGACCCCCGAAGTGCCGCCCATGGGTTTCATGTTCGTCTCCAGTCTCCTGGCCTCGCAGGGTTTCACCTCACATCCACGACCTGTTTGGGACTGACGGCGTATGCCGCCCCAGAAAGACCCGACCCCCCCCCTTTTCCACCGCCCCTGGCCGTATTGAAACGGCCGTCCTATGGCCCCCCGTGCCGTCGCGCGACACTCACAGGAGCCGGATGGGAAGTGCAGGGCTTGGTGGAGTATCCGTGTCTCCTGGCATGGTGGGGCCGTGTGTTGGATGTTCGCAAGGACTGGTTGAAGCCAATTTAATGTCCAGAAAACTTGGGCAGCCTCTTCTCCACGAACGGAACTCCAGGAAGTGAGGATCTACGGTTGACGGGGAGAGCATCATGTTGCAGCTCAGGCTACAATATTTGCAACAAGACCAACGCCCCCATCCGGGAGTTCACCGACAACTTCAACAAATCCTTGGCCGAACTGGAACGGAAGAAGTCCTCCAAGCGCTTGTTGATCGCAGGCGCGTTGACGCGGCGTCATGCGGTGTCGACTGGGCGTGCCCAGTGGGGTTGATGCGACTGCGACTTCTCTTGAGTTGGTTCACTAGTATTTGGGGGTTGTCCGCAATGGTGTGTGTGTGTGTGCACCTGATGTCCTGCACTGCCAATAGGAGCGTTTGGTCCGACCATGATATTTTGTGATGTCACCACTGAGCAGTTCGAACCCCGATCACGACACGATGTCTGGAGACGACACGATTTCTGCATACACCACATCCGCTTCACTTCTTCATCACGCCGCATCATCACACATCCAAGTCTTTTCCGCAGGCATGGTGCGAGATCCACTGGAAATGGTGGCTTCTGCTTATTGCTACCACCATTCCGGGCAGGAGACGAGCGGATCGGTCCCCGAAGGCGAAGAAGAGCCCCATGACTTGGCCGATGTTTGTCGAGCACATTCATCTCTACAGACATGTCTAGAGTCTAGACTATTGAATACATTTGTGACAAAAAAAACTAATTTTAGAATGTATATTGTATAGTTATAATATAGCTTATGGTGTATATTACATTTAAACTATTTATGCATAATTTATACTTATGCATCCCACCGATAGCATTGGGAAAGGGTTTGGCTTTGGCATGCTTTTGCCCCTGTAGGCGCTGAGGTTTGTTGGGGAACAGGGATTTGTTGGATTTATGCGCAGCAGGGTTCATGACTTGACCCCCTTCCTGTTCCAAGTCAGTTCCTCAAGAACAACGCGTTTGTGGCGTTACCACCAGCAAACCAAACACAGCATGACAAGACGGTCATGGACCTTCCAGCCTCCATTCCAGAATCTTGCGCACTATCAAGCTGGTTCCACCACCCCACTTTCCTCCTCACCGGGTCGCTCCTGTAGCGGCCGCCACCTCGTTCTGGAACGCGAATTCAGCTCGTTTCGGAACGCGGATTCGGATCGTTTCGGAACGCGGGCCAAATGGTCTCTGGGAAGTGGTTTCTGGGAAGTGGTTTCTGGGACTGGTTTCTGGGGACTGGTTTCTGGGAAGTGGCTTCTGGGGAGTGGTTTCTGGGGACTGGTTTCTGGCAAGTGTTTTTCGGGGGAGTGGTGAAGGCCTAAGCCCAACCCAAAGACATCCTAAAGAAGTGAAGCCATAAGGCAAGCCAAAAGAGATAAAGACGCAAAACCCTAAGCCCAAGCACAAGAAACCCTAAAGGAGTGAAGCCCTAAGCAAAACCAAAAAAGACCCTAAAGAAGTGAAGCCCTGAGTCAAACCCAAAGACATCCTAAAGCAGCAAAGCCCTAAGCCAAACCAACCAGAGACCCTAAAGAAGTGAAGCCCTAAGTCCCTCACAAGTGAAGGCCTAGGTCCAACCCAAAGACATCCTAAAGAAGCAAGGCCCTAAGGCAAACCAAAAGAAACCCAACGGCTCACTTTTGGAGGAAGTCTGGTATGAAACGCTCGTTCCGGAGACTTGCGCGGCTCACTTTTGGAGGAAGTCTCATACGAAACGCTCATTCTGGAGACAAGCGCAGCTCACTTTTGGAGGAAGTCTCGTACGAAACGCTCATTTTCACTAGCAAATGATGCCTTCGAAGCACTACCGAAGGATGCGTGTTCCAAAATGATCCGCGAAACTGGTGTCAGACTGCAGTCCCGGAGAGTTTTCTTGTCCTCGTGTTCCAAAATGATCCGTTTCTGGGTTCCAAAATGATCCGGGTGCCCCTGTAGCCCCACGTCTTGGTTCTTCCAGGAGAGGGGCAACCAGTTGTTTCCCGTTTGGGACCTCATGAAGATGGGCCATCGAGAGGGCACCGACCTCAGTCGACCCAAACACCCGGCGCCGCCTGGCGCTCGACGCAAACGGATCCCGTCGCCCTTTGGAGATCCAACGGGATCCGCATGGAGCAGGGAGAGGTGCGGAACGTGGTAGAGCCGTTGGGTCGGACAGGGCGGGCCTCAAGTCACAAAGGGCCGGGTGAACATGGGTGAACAGTTGGGGGAGTTGCAGATTCGAGAGATTGGAGGAATGGAGTCGCATCTGAGTTTGAGTACTGACGGAGGTCGCGGATCGATGTGTTGAAGGGGCGCCCATGCGACGTGAGGCACCCAGCTTTGTGCAGAAAGGCTGCTCCCACTGGTCGTGCCTGGGCAGGGACCTGGCGGCCGGTTCATGGTACGACGATTGGACCTCTCTTCCCATGTTGCTGACACTTTCAGTGAAAGTCCCAGGTGTCAGCCATATATCAGGGGAGATTTGTGCAAAAGATTCCTGGAAAAAAGAACTGCCGTGATTCTAGTCTGGGGAGTTGCCCTTTGCATTTGGCGTGTGCTCTGACCTGGGAGATTTCTTTGAGGCTAAAGAACCATGAGGGCATTCATGTGTGTCGTGTGTATAGTATACGAAGAGTGTTGCTGCACGTCCTGTTCTGCCGCATGATTGATCCAATGAGCTATGATATATGTGCCGTATCTATTTGCTGTAGAGGATTGTAGAGGTATATATATATACTGTATATATATATATAGTTGCATTATATACACACACCACACTTGTTGATTTGCGGCGCTGTTTGAAGTTCGATTTGCTACGTTGCTGTTGTATAACTGCATTCCAAATTCCGAATTCCCTTCCTTTTCTTGTTTCCGTTTGATTCCTGTGATGTGTTGATGTTCGCTACCAAGACTCACTCCACGGGTGCCTGCACCGTTTGGCTCGCTCGGTGCCCGAGGAATGGATGGCGGACACCTTCGCCCAGCCAGACCCGGAGACCCTGCGCGCCTGGGCGGCGCCGGCGGTTGGTTTCTGATTTGGAGACTGGTCACCGGCGTGGTCCCAATCAGGTCTATCAAGCAACAGTTATATAGATTTTTTCATGATCTCTCTATATCACTCTTATCCAGGAAACGTGGATACATGTTTAAAACCTTTTTGGGGGGATTGGTTTCCCAACCACGGAAAGAGGCTGAACCTGCGAAGCACCAAAAGTTCCAGGGATCTGCGCTCGGGGAGTGTGCCTGACACGGTCACAGCTCGGCTCGGCTCGCTGCCTTCAGACACAACCAACCAACCTTGTTTCCTCTTTTTGGAGTCATGGGTGAATGGTCTGGGATGGTATGGACCCTGGCCCCGTTGTTACACTCACTTGTTTTATAGTTAACGTGATTTCATGTGTTGGCACCATGTCCTCTCCAAAATGACATACAATAAAAGAAACAAGCTGTTTCTTCTTGGGTCATGTGGCACTATGTATCAATGGACATGCCATGTGTTTTTTCCATGCCATCTCATTCTGCGCCCAGGCATCGACTACGAGACCATCACCAGCTCGTCCGGTGCCTTCGATGCCGAGGTCCTCAAGCTGCCACTGGGCACCGAGCGTCAGCCGAGGGCGGGAGAAAGGTCCTCAACGGGTTGATCAGTCAGTTGGAGGATCAGCGGAGATCTCAAAGGTTTGTTTGGTCAAAAGCAACAGGTTGGACCTAGCGTGGATCAATTTTTGCATAGTTTTCGCAATGTTTTGCAAATCTCTTTGTTGAAGGGCTGGGAGTGCCTGATCCATGGAATTCCATGGACTGATGTTGGAGAGCTGCACGTCGCTCGCGCAGCTGTACGAAGCAGGATTGTCCTGGATGTTGACACCAACTCTCAGTCATTCGCAGTGACCAACCCCAGTCATCCTTACGGACGTGTGAGGGCTCCTTCCACTCCTCAGGTTCGGTCTGGACTCGACTGGCTGGCACCCGGGACTTGGGTCGTCCCACCGAACCTGAGAAGGTATGACTGGAGCCCTACAAATTGCAAAGGCTGCAGTCCATGGCTTGGATTTGGATGATTATGATTGATTGTGTGTCCGTGAGTCCCTTGTATTTGTATGCACTTCCTGGACCCTGGACAGAACCCGGTGAAATGGGACACAGCAACATCGATTATAAGGGAGATAGGGTGTCCAAGAAATGCATTCAGACGAAACCCCAGATTTGTCATGACAGAGTAGATCACCCAAATTTGCTACCCAAATCCTTCTGCTGGGAGTGGATGGCAGAATCCTTCACCCCCTCAAAAGTCGCCTTCGGGGAGAGTGGATGGCAGAAGGCTGGAACACTACTTTGGTGCTGGCGAAGAGTTCATCACTGCAGAGCAGCGGCAGAGGATCCTTTGGAATACACAGGTGCCGTTCAACCGGCTCGCGCAGCGATCTGCATCGCACACCCTGTGGACACGCCAAAAGCGCAAGAGGAGGAACATGCGCAAACCATCCTATTACATCAGGTATTTGTTCGAAGATGGGCCTCGGACCAATCTATCACTGAATGGAGTTGAACGTCAAATGCAATGAATGGAAGCTATATATATATAGAGAAAGTTGCAGGTACCATAGGGAACCCGTTCACAACCTGGTGGTGGTCGGACTCGGACCTCTGCTGAACCCGTCCTCGCGAAGCGACCGCGCGAGTGGCGGGGTCCTCATGACCGGGACGACCCCGTCGGTGAGGGGTTCTCGTCTTTGTGTGTCTTGGTCCCTTAGACAATATCGTCGACTGCTTTAACCTGGATCACGTGGAAAAATGGTGGCTAGAGCGATGCAAGCCTTGCCGTTTGTACATGAAACATGTGAATATATATATATATATATGAATACTGTATATTAGTGCCAACGAACTAACCTGAAAGCCCTTGTCGGATGCCTGTCCCATGTAAACATTTCTTGTAAACAAACGAGTAGATTTGGATAGATTTGGGATTTGTTGCATTTGCTGTTGGCCATGTAAGGACTCCGAAACTCATCCAGGCTTCAAAGAGCCAGCTCACTCGGTTCCCCCACTACGGTGTCACGATGGGCCTTTCAGGAACAATGGTCTGTTCTAGGCATCACTAATCTTGGAAAGGCCCTACTACATGTAACATGTTTGTCTTTGCGTTCGGCGTGAACGGCGTAACCCGCGAAGAATGCGCCAAAGACCCGCGACCGGTTGAGGTCTTGGACCTGAATCGCTATCCCAACAACAGCAACACCATGGTCGAACGAGGCGCGGAGGGTCCAAGGTATGCCAAGGTCCGGTCCGATGATGGAACACACAGATATCCCTTCGCGGAAGACAGGGAAAAGTCTTTATATAAAGCCTTAGGATGGTCGATTTGGCCTGCTTGGGCAGTTGCTAGCTGCTAGTTGCTATGCAAAGATAATTAATGTCCATTTTGCAGCCCAAACCCTGCATGCTTGCGAGGAGGGAAGGAGCACAAGAGTAATGAAGAGTGTGTGGCGACGGCGCGCTCTGCGGTCATGCTCTTGGACGGCGGGCTTCTGAGGAAATTCCAAGCGCTCCAGCAGAAGTTGGGCTATAGAGTATGGACCTGAGATGAGGAGATGAGTCCTTTAGCGAACCATGCGAAGCCATCCGCTGTCGACTGACATGGTCATCCGCTGTCGATCTTGGGCCCCGGGTTGTGACCCCGCGCCGCTGTGCCGAAGAAAAGGGGGGAGACGAGTGAGTTGCGCCGACCTTGTTCGTGAGTTGAGAGTCCCACTGCGGCCAAGGTGTTGTCAGGATTCTCACGTAAATAAGCGTTGCATGAAATCGCGCACCACCGTCCAAATCAAGTGGCGGATGAACAAGGAATAACAAGGACAACCATGGCTGCATAGTGTGCGATCCAATTATGCATCACCAAGTCTTGTGGATGACCTATAGATCTTTAATTAACAAAACAAGGGTCATGAAGGATCAACCGGAAAAACAAGGATAGACATAAAGGAGAGACACCTGTAGAATCCTCAAGGTGAAACACGCCCGCACCACACACATAAAACTGTTCATCACTCTTTTATAGGTCCCGTGAACCGTGTAACAGTGTATGACCCCCCAAACTGAAGTGTTCACCAAACTTGAAACTAATCATATCCCATTCCGTTCTTTCTTCCACATTTTCAGTAGGGTCACCCATCCAGAAAAGACGCAACGACGTCGCCTCCACGTCCGTTGTTCCGCGTCCGTCCCCTTGCCGCTCGTCGAGGTACATGCCCGAGCCACTGGACCGTGCACGGGTCCTGGCCAAGGCGGACGAGGGACACACGTCGCGTGAACGTGAGCGCGGTCTGGGTGGACAACCACTCGATCTCTCTCTCTATCTCTCTCATTGGGGTGTGGCATAGAAGACACATGTTTAACATGCGTAACATGACCACCCAAAAAGTGATTGTTTCATAAAACTACAGTAATGCTTAAGTGATTGGTTTTGTTGTGCCTGTATAGGTCGAGCCTTCGACTGGTGCGTTGAGCCCCCCGCACCATCTCCACAGGTTCGCCAACTCTTGCAAGAGCCGACCGGGCTGCTGATCATCGCCGACACGGCGCGGTGGAGACGTGGTGGAGACGCGCCCAGTGGAAGCGGTGGACGAAAAGGTTCGTGCACCATACTCATATATATATATATAATGTATATATAATATACATATATATATATATCAACATTATATAAGTATATACATATATTTTGTACATAATTTATATTATATAACTTGTGTATCTATTACTGTTGCATCATTATTATAGACTCGAGGCTCCAGAGGCGCAGGCACCTCTCCCCAGCTGGGTGAGATTCGGGACGTGTTCGGTTCCAGTTGTGTCTTCCACGTGGCTGCCAGGTGCCCACGCTTGGGAGGCGGCTGGGTTGATGGACTCGTTGGCTGACGGATCTGGATTCGAAGTGAAGGAAACCTCGGGCCAATCCGATCATTATCCAACCTCAGGCCAAAAGAAGCAGAATGGCAAAATCCTTCACATTTATGACAATAAGATGATTTCTGCATGAAAGAAACCGACGTCTTCGTGACACTTGGTTTCTGATTCCCAGCACGTCCCGTCCTGGTCACGTTTCTTCGGGCTTAGCGGACGCGCCAGGTATTCCGAGGGGTTGCCTCCATGGACTTCGACGGTGGAGGTGCGCCCGGACGTGGACCGTCGGTGGAAGGCTGTGCCGAAAAGCAGGATCCGGCTCACCCCATTTGGCTGAAGACATGTATGTCATGGAACCATGTACCTAACTTGGTATAAGAAGACACAAAAAACCTTGGATTCCAAGGTATATATGCCGAATCTTACAGTAAGTAGACATGATCATCATGTGCTTGATGTATTGAACTAATACGAATACGTGGTACCACGTATAATATATACTTATACCATGTACTTTATACGTGGCTGATGTCATCACGTACTTAAAGTATTCGACACCATACCTTGGAATTCTTGGGTGCCGCCGTCGGGCCGGGCCGTCGTCCGACGCACTGATTACCTTTGATTTTCTTGACAAAAAATACTTCCTGCAGTGTGGCGGGGTGAATGTTTGGTCCGTGAGCTGGTCGACATATCCAAAACCAAACAAGATTTGGATGATGTTGGATGTATGATGATGTAGGATATGTATGCATCCTGAGGATTCATGAGGTGTCGGCTCTTCTGCTTTGTTTTGACTGGTCCAGGCTGCAGGCTACCGACTGCTCCATGACCCTCAGATGCACTTCTCCTCGAAGAGAGATCGGAGGCCGGCGGCTGAACCAACCAGGTACAAAGTGTGAAATAGTGCGAAGATCAAGCTTTGCCTGAGAGACTCTTGAAAAAGCTTCAGTCGACAGCCTATATACATATATAATATACTTCAAAAGTTGAAAAAAAATCGATAGACTCTGAGTCTGGGCCGTTTGGGTCCCGGGTGACCCGATGGTGTGCTTTTTTGCTCTTTTGCTCTCAGCGATGTTTGCTCTCCGCGTCCACGAACGAGTTCCCCAGCCCGACCGTTCGAAGCGAAGGAGTCCCCTGCATGGTACTCCTACAGCCCAGCACGTGCTTTTGTTTTTGTGGTTTTTAGAGACCAAAAGAAACCAGGAAAGATCTCAGCACCACTGAGTTAAGGGTATTTCATTTAGACATTCCCCCCGTCCCCCAGAGCCACCGGAAATCCGTGGTGGGTTGCGAAACAGCCAGCTGCTAACTAGCAGCACGACCGGAGCGAGGACCGGTGTGGTGAACCGCGCCAGCTGCTTCTCTTTCGCAGTCTCTGGAGGTGCGGCACAGGCTTTGCTCAGCTGCTAGGTTTGGGATGTGAATGTGGAGAGACATGATTTGGATCAGTTTTGCCCCACCTGTCAGGTGAGGATGGGGATCTCTCGAAGTGGAGCAAGTTATTTACAGCAAGCCTTATCATTAACCTTCCAAGATGAGTTAAAGCTTGGCATGTTGACAAAAAGATGCTAAAACATGCTAAAACCATCTCATGCTAGAATTATGAAGGGCGGTTGGAATTACCACATGGGTTTTGTAGCATCCCCTCTTCTCTTCTCAAGCTCCAACTCCAGACCTGGCCACTGTCCAGCTACGACCAGGAGGTGGCGGTCCGCTCCTGGGTGTGCACCTTTTGGATGCGAACACTCAGGCGGAGGCAGGCGCGGTGAAACGAGGTGGACAGTTTTCCTTCCACGGCCGGGTCGATGGTTGTGAGATCCACGGCATGCTTTGGAAACCAGGTTAACTCTGAAACTCTTGTTGACTTATGTTCACTTGCTAGTTGATACATGTGGATTCTGGGATTTGTTGAAAACACGGGTCTTCCGGACTGGGAGCGGCGCCGAAGACACGGAGGGCGAATTGGTTGTGGTACTCACACGTTGACTTTGTTTGTTGTGCCTTCCGTGTCTTCCGACTGGGTGTGTGCTCTGCCCTGGCGCCGCCTGCTCATCTCGGCGACGCCTCGTCGGACAAACTGCATATAGATCTCCAGACAGGACATGCATTGGATTGTCGAGCTATGCACGGTTGTTGCCTTTGTTTGCGATGCTAGCAGAGGACGAGGGTCCAAGTTACGGCTTTTGAGCAAAAGCAAGGCCCCCAGAGGCCCCCAGAGTAGATAGGATTTGGCCTTCGCACGCTTCAGCTTTGCTGCTGGGGAACTATAGGGCTTGTGGGACTTGCAAAGGGCTCACAGGCCTTGTCGAACCTCAAGATGCCTTAAGTTTTTGTCCGCCACCAACTCAGCAAGACGTGCAGGCGCTTCGAAGGCCTTCAAGGCCGCCTCCGGCCTTCCAAAAAGAAGCAGCGGTGCCCGTGGGGACAAATGATGCGGGAATCAATGTGAACATGGATTTCTTTGGAATTCTGCATTGATGGCATGTGATGGCAGCTTTGGATTGGGTTAACACGTCACCCCATCATTCCGTTTGCACCACATCAATCTCCCAAAAAGGAATGAATTTAGTTTGATGCTTTTAATATTCAATACACCAGCAGTTCCAAAGGGGATGGAGGATAGGGGTGCCCCTGTCACATTCACCTACTGGATGGGACGAAACACCACCCAAGCTTTGTGACTCCTGGTGTAAACAATCATAGAATATCATAGAGCAACATGTTTGTTTTGCATGTTGCTCTCTTTTTGGCATGTTGCGCTCCTTTATAAGTGCTCGTTGGCTGTTCCAGGAAGAATCACATCGTTTTTGGTATTTCCTCCAGATGAACCCGTCGTTTCGCACCGGCTCCAAACCGGCGCAAACTGCCTCTTGCGCCGCTTTTTCGGCTGGTTTGGTTTGAAGGATCGAGCCGTGGTTGCTTATCGCTGGGGACATGAAATGTGAAGAATCCAAAGTCCTTGACCACGGTCGTGGCAAAATGACAAGCACTTTGTACTAGTATGTTGGTTCTTGCCAGTTGGGGTTCCAAGAACTGTTCACTTCTTGGTATACACTGTAACAGGTTGTCCGACCGGGCGCCCACCAGTTAATTCTTGCGTCCTTGTGTTGCCTCCCAGTCATGAACCAGCCGGCTTGCAGGTTGACAATGGAAGGAGGCTCAGAAACATGTAGCTCGGGCTCAAGGAACCTCACTTGGCCCGGAGTGTCGATGTTCATATTCTGGCTATGCCTACTGCTGAGCCATGTGTGGCATGCCGTGAATGCTGGAACTGTCGGACCGTTGGGTGACGAGCATGACCGCTGCGTCTCCATGGTCCAGAGGCAAAGCTCAGCGCGTTTCGCGCATGGACGGGTGACGGCCAGACCATGGGAGGCCAGACCAGCTTCGTGTCGGCCTTTTCGTGTCAAGCGAACCCCACCGGAGAAGTTGTCCCGTAAGAATGTGCTTGTTTTGCTGCTGGCAAGTCATGTTTTGGCATTTTACAACCACTTGGCGAAGGTGAACAACTATATTATGGCCTCATATCACAAGGCTGGCGTGTTCTTGTCTCAGGCTTTGTCGAACCTCAGCTGCATACTCGTATTGTCGGGCGGGGTGGGGCTGGTACTCAGCACTCACATAGGAGTTGTGCTGATGTTCAGACTAGTGCTTAGCGTGAAGAATGAGGGAATGAGCCGCCGATGTTCCTTATTCCGATTCCCTACCAAGCACAAGTCACGAGTCAGAGTTTGGTGTGCAAGATTTACAGTAAAGGTAGTAAAGGTGCTTTTTTTTCTGTGATGTCAAT